CAAGCCCGTAAGATGCTACAGGGAAGAGGACTGGGAGATCGTCCACGACTCAAGCCCGTAAGTTGCCACAGGGAAGAGGCATGTTCCTAAAACCCCCCAACACAGGGGTTCTCAACCTTCCTAATGCGGCGACCCTTTAATACAGATCCTCATGTTGCGGTGACCGCCAACCATACAATTATTTTCGTTGTTATTTCATAACTTCAGTGAATATGTGTTTTGCGATGGTCTTAGGCGACCCCTGTGAAATCGTTGTTAGACCCACAGGGGGAAAACCTCTGCATTAACTCATACTGCCTCAGTTGTCACTTTAAGTTCTTCTGCCATGAATTGTTTTTATTTGATCTTTCTCAAGCCCAGAATTTTACCCTTTAAAGGATTATTTTATAGAGATATCAGGATAGGGGGACTATTCATCCAATTTTCACCTGCACAGTCCAGGTTTTTAGGATGTGTCTCTGTGTCCCGTCAGAAAAAAAAAAACCCACCTCTATTTGTTCTATTCTGTTCAAATCTAGGAATTAGCTAAAGAAGAGAACCTACATTTACAGCTGCATCGAGTATCGGACACTGCCTCTGGTCAATCCAGTGCTGCAGCATTCTCACGAGATTGTGATGATAATTTGGCTATTTCAAATTGTACACGTGTCCCCATAAGGCCTTTACCAAGCCTGCCATCATGTATCAATATTCCACGAAAATGTACAGAGCAGCCAGTCTGTCCGCCTGTTAATTTTCCATTTTAAAGCTGAATATCGAGGGATCATACAACAACTTGGTGTATGCATGCATGTTTATTATCGACATGTTAAAAAGTATGTTGTACATCTGACAGTTTATATTTGAACTATGAAGCGGCGGGCTTACGATTGTCAGCTTATAATCAAAATATGAACTAAACTTTAATCTGTCCGATCAAAATGTCTTATATCCAGCTCGATAGTATACTTAAGCAAGTTACAAGCCAGTTTTATTGTGCAGGAGATAGTTTTTCTTAAGTTCTAAACTCAACATAAAATCTATGACGTCATGCAATCAATCGCGCTACATCTACTCGCACGTGTTGGATCAATATAACAGCCTACATATGTGATTCTCACACGAGGCTGCGTGTGGCCGTAGACCATGAGGCCGACCAAAAACAGTAGATAGATATTATTCAGACAGACGTACCAACACATAGGGTTAATGATTGAAAAAGATATGGTAAATCACACAGGTGAATGGATCGGGTAAAATCTACAGAAACGAACCTCAAAGGCTCGGAATGCTCAAGAAGAAGTCTGACGCTGACGACAGGTTCTAAATTCCTCTACATTTTCTTAGCGAGACGAAGCACGTGTGGACATATCCTAGGGGCTGTCAGTCAGTGACGAATGACACAGGTAGAGTCATTCTTTTCATAGTCCTTGCAATGTGGTATTTATAGCCAGTTTCCTGTCTGGTGTGTTCTCAGACAATTCTAATACAGATGAGCTTCCATGATTCCATGACAAACTTCTCTCTCGGTCACCCTCAGTTTCTTTTGCCAACTTTGTGGTAAACTGTTTTTACATAATTAAATAGTCTCAGGGGAAAAAGAAAGAAGCTATAGCGCAGTAACAGATGGATAAGCTGAGGACAGTGTCACGAAGCAAACTAGTACACACTGTATTGACTTTCTCACACTATCATGCATGAAGGAACAGCAATGGTTTTACCGTAGAGTGCATTACATGGGGGGGGGGGGGGGGGGGTGAGAGAGATTAAAAAAAAAAAAAGGATAGATGGGTAGATAAGAGAGACAGCAGAAAGAGAAAGAAGTCCACGTGAAAAACATCCCAAAATGAGAGACAGAGAAATTATTGATGGATAAATAAGAAAAGGAGCATAACGACAGAGATAGAGAGAAGAACGAGAGAGAGAGAGAGAGAGAGAGAGAGAGAGAGAGAGAGAGAGAGAGAGAGAGAGAGATTCAGACGGAGGACTTATTTTTACAGTGTGTCTTTGTTATCATGTCTCCCAACATCCTCCTCTCACATGTACTGTCAACTATTTCTGATACATATGTTTATCCATGCAATGATGCCAAACCGCCTAACATCTTCTCGTTTTGCCTCTATATGGCTCGCTTCTCTTCGTATACCTAAGTTTAACATTTATGAGACAGATAAGCACTTCTATACATGGGTCACAAATCGCTTTACAAAGCAGCTTGCCTTCTTCTTGCCGCACACCAGGTTTAAACTGCTTCAAAAAGTTAAGGTTGTTTGACCACATCTGCATTTGTTCTTGTTCCAAAATTTGAGCTTTAGGTGTTTGGTAGTCTATTTGCTCACTTAATGATGGTTCCTTGCCTGTCAGGCAGATGCACTTCGACTTAGAAGGAAACACCCCTAATTACTCGACTCTTACGACAGCCTGTTAAGGTGCAGTGGGTGTATTCTAAACCCCCCCCCCCCCCCACGCTTCAACGGGACCCCAAAAACCCACACGAAGAAAAAGGTTTGTTAAGATAGCCTTCATTTTCTTGAACTATTGTTATGCACGGTTGACCCCTGGTCTCAACAAACTAAAACGGCTTGGTACCTGCAGAAACTACGACTTAAGAACCACTGATTTAAAATATTGTAAATAAGTGAAGATTAAAAGACAAGCATACATACATGGGTTGCAATACTTACCTCACTTTCACATTACATACGCCATCTTGAGACGCAACAAGAATTTGTTAGGATGTCTGTGTCTTTCAAAGCAAAATCTAGGTAAATTGTCATCAATTTTTAAGATAATGTATTCATATGCGAACTTATTAAAATGTTCATACGCTGCTTTGTTCGATTTATCTGTACCTGTTTATTTTGAAGGAAAAGCCATCGTTTGTGCCTAATTATGAGGTGATTAAATTTAAACCGTGTCAGGCAGTCAACTCTATAATGTGTTTAAATGTGAGATTCTGAAGGTTTAAATTTAAAGTCATGTATTCGATGAAATTAGGTTCTCGTTCACTGGCAGGCTCAAGAGATTATATGGTTCTATATATCCTGTCACGGAAGTTGAAATATTTTGGTCATATCCAGTGTCATGGCGGTCTAGAAAAAAAAATAATAGCAGAGTGCATGGTACCATGAAAGAAGGGCATGTGCCGACCAACACTAAGATGGGCACAGGATATAAGTGACTCCTTAAATATGAAAGCACACAGGAAAAAATGGGGGGGGGGGAAGGGGGGGGCGAGAGACCAAGATTCTTTCAGGCAGACCCTGATGAGAGCCACGTTCTGCAAAAGTCCTGCCACAAGATGCTGACGATATCCTATCAACACGACACGTTTGTTCTCTCATGTAACCGGGGCAGTATTTAGAATGACTGAGGCCCTGAGACACATAAAACCCAGAGGTCCTTAAAGTTAATTGCATTTTCCTTACAGGACGTTGCAGAACCAGCTTCAGAATTTTTTGGCTGTTGGTGGTTTTTGTAGGCAAATGTCAGCGGTTAGCTATTGGTCTAAACCATCAGCTCTTGATACCGCAGTCGAAACCATCGCAATCAGCTGGGATCGAACCCGGCACCGCGGCATTAGGGAGCGGGTTCGCAACGCCTAAGACACCAGTTAATCTCAGAAAAGCGATATAGTGTATAGGCCTAGGTCTTTTAAACATATGGATAATGGAAACATAATGCCGTTTAATTTCTTTGTTGTTGTTGAAAGAAATGATCAAGAATATGTCCGCAAAATAATAGAAACTTATTCAAGTCTCTAACAAGCTAAGAGTGAGAGTGACTTCGGTGACCCACTTTAACAAAAAAGGTGGAAGTTGATGTAATATCAAGTTGATAATGTTTTTCAATTTCAATAGCCCAAGACAGGTTTAAAAAAAAGAGATTATATACCTAAAATATTATTTAAAAAAACGATTTTTTTTTAGGCCAGTTTAGATTTAAGATGCAATACGCAAATAAGAGAAGAGATCAAGCCAGCTTATATATCCAGTTTAAATAAAATAAAAATAAAAAAGGAAGTTCCGCTGGAACTACAGCGGCCATGCACTCACAATGGACAAGACCAGACTCCCCCATCAAACCCTCATATGGACACTGGAAGGGAAAGAGAACGGGGAAGACCTTGCGTAGAGCAATCATCAGAGAAGGCTCAGCCATGGGCTATGTATGACCTCTGCCAAATCACCGCTCTCGCTCAAGAGGAAAGACTTACTGCCGACTATAAAGCCCTAAGCGGTGACTTATTTAAAGTGAAAAGTAAAGATCCCTTTTCACGCCTTTAGGCGCACTGGGCCTGTGGGAAGAGCACCCATATTTTTACAGACCATTCGACATTAGGTGGGTAATGTCGTCAGGATTACGCCGGCCGTTTTTACTTTCCCAGGACATACACCCCTAGACCCATTTTAGGTTGGGTCGAGCTTCTACGCCCCATAGCATGATAAAACATTCACGGAGCCAACAGTGGGTTTCGATCAACGCCTAAGCCACGAGCGCCGCGGTGACCTATTTAGCCTATATTAAAATCTGGCTTTTCCTAAAGCCAATATATTTGAGTCTTGAGGTTTGAACAAAGGAACAACATCATGGCACATGGGTAGTAACCCATAAGTGCTCTGTTCTTCTGACTCAAGAAGCTCAGCAGCACCGGCGAGGATCCTAAAATACTTTGGGTAGATTTTTAACTCAAAATTTTGCCCGGGCAGCACCGTTAGGCTACTCTTTTCGATTTTCAACTGCCAAGGGATTTTGTTTTTACGTGCGCAATAATGCACACGGACGCGTTACCGTACTACCCAGAGATCAGAAGTCCAAGTACACGTGAAAAAATCCCAGCCCTCACCGGGGATTGAACTCGGAACCTCTAGCACTCGAGGCGGACACCATACCTCGAGACCACGCGGCCCCTTGCCAATATATTTTAAGTGTGATAGTCCTAATCCTATTTTCTACACACAAACATGCACAGTCTAACTCCATCAAACTGTTATCACAGAAACACAGACTGTCCCTGGAACATGGCCAGGCACACTACGACCTTCTCTCTACTGGTTCTGACATTGTCTGTCAGTATACCACACAGTACAGGCAGGCGGCAGTGCGCGGAGGTGATCGATGATCCTCGATCTGTGTTCAATCAGTCGAACGTTTACACGGAGCCCCTTGCGGCATACATAGCCACAGATCTAGTAGACTGCATGGGCATTTGCTGCTATGACGGTAACTAGTTTTTCCTCTAACTTATTAAGTCACTCTTAAATATACAAGTGGGCAACCATACTGACATCCCACAGACAGTAGACTAAATGGCATCCATCCACATTGGAATATATGTATAAGTGTATGTGTGTGCCTTTGGATTTATTGATGGACAGAAAGGCAGACAGACATACATACAGACAGTCAGACAGACAAATAGATAAATACACTGATATATAGATAAATATAACAAAGATAGATAGATAATAAATAAATAAAAAAAAACACACACATATACATATAGATCGATAACATTTGTATAGAGCTGTGTATGCATATAATGTTTTTGCATTTACATCCAAAATGGTAAAGAAGTAATGTGAGGCAAAGACACACACACACACAAACACACATACACACACACACATAAACACATACACACACGGAGAGAGAGAGAGAGAGAGAGAGAGAGAGAGAGAGAGAGAGAGAGAGAGAGAGAGAGAGACTTCAAGGAGGAAATGAAGGTACCTGTACTAGATGCTTACATACCTGAAGCCTCAACTGAAGGCCTACTCTTGTTTTAGAAAACGGATGGACATAAATGAAGAAAGACTATTAGATGTATGCGTATTTTTCTATCTTTTCTTGTCACCTTTGTTCACATTGCCACTCAAATGACTCTGATTAATCGTTAAACGTGATCCATTAATCCTCTGGTAATTTATTATTGTAAATGTTAAAATATGGTCTAATTTCCCGTTTGCTTCACCAGAAATATCCTGCAATGTTGGAGTTTACATGGAATCATCTCCTAGCGACATCAACTGCTGGTTATACTTCTGTTATACCCTGGACTCTTGTGCCGTCGAGATCAGAAAGAGATCCGTTGTTTTCGTGAACTACAACCATCCTACAGATAACGACAACATACAGACTTCACAGAATCCAGGCTATCCGACTCCGGTGTACCAAGACAGTAATGTAGATTACGCCAACACGAAGTGGAACACTGACAATACACCTACATATAATAAAAATGAAACAGACGAAAACGCTAGTAACAGTTTTGCTTCACTAGAAGGGAATACAGTTTCTACACCTCCATCTATGACAGCTGAGGTGGCGTCAGTAACAGAACCTGAACTGATTTCTGAAACAACACATAAAAACACCTTACTGTCACTTGCCAGTCAAAGTATTTTCCAATATGACACTTTTATAATGCCTGGCAATGAAGTTGTTTTAAAAAATGACACCTTTACCACAACACTTAACGAGACTGGTTGGGAAAATGGCCCAATCTTTGCAAATATTAGTAAAGAAATTGAAGGAAATATCACATCGGAATCTTTATTTACCAATGAAAATGACACAGGTCATGAAAATGACAATGCTACCGTGTCAGTCAAAGATGAACATGATATTGAAAGTGTCACATTTTGGGCAGCAGACCAGCTGACTAGTATTAATTCTTCTTTTAGCCTGTCAACATCAGAAGTTGTTTTAGCACAAATACCAGGTACGAAAGATCAACATTTCTACAGTTCTCAGCAAACACTGCACAGCGAAGACTCCGCAATACACCCAACAGACACAACTTCCTACAGTGACTTGCTCGCTGCCATGACGATTTTCTCTAGTGGCGACTGGTCAACGACATTTGTGGTCAGTGCAACATCGCATTTTGAGTCTACTATACATCTTTCAGAACAAGGAGGGGAAAGCCTTGTAATGTTGGAGTCAGTGATGACAGTTAACTCAAGCGGTTATGTCAGTTCGACCCGGAATATGGCAGAGGAGGATGTCACAAGTAAGATGCCAAATTACAAGGCTTTCCTGTGTCTTGTTCCTCTAGTCTTTTTAGAGATGACATGTCAATTATAAGGCTTTGCTGTGTCTTATTACTCTGCTATCTTTAGTGAGGACATGGTTTCACAGATCTCTTCCAGCCCTGACGCTGTGAGACATTCCAGGAGTAGAAACAAGAAGAAGATGAAGAAATGGTTGTCTTCATACATTTTGGTGACTTGATACTTGACATCCTCAACATCATCATCATCATCAGCATTGTCATCATCATTATCTATACCCTTGCTTACCACTATTCTCATCATCATCATCATCATCATCATCGAAAACACAAGCAGCAACATCTTTGTCGTCATTATTAAAAAATATGCCTTTTTTTAACAACTCCCCCCTCTCCCCTCCAGCATTACACACTGAAAGTGACATATCCACTGACTAAAGGAAACAATATTCGGATAAAAATCCAACAGGAGACAATTCCAGAAACTCCGTCGTTTCACTATATATATATAAAGGCGTATTACGGTTATGAAGTAATACACCTCGACGTTTGTAGAATGTCTTTTATGTTTGATGTGTACTCATTAAGCAATCAAAAGAATGTCCGTTTATAAACTTATGTCATCATTGCCACGTATCAGGCCACACAATCAACCATTATACATTACAGACAGGTACACATCACCACTTATCGTCCCACCACCGTTCAATCAAAACTCATATCGATCCGAACATTTAATTATTATAAGCAGATGAAGTAGGAGATAAAATAGGACAATGAGAAGAAATAGAAGACGTTATTGATGCTGACGGGAAGGAAGAGAAGGATGAAAAGAAAAAGAAGAAGAAGAAGAAAAAGGAGGAGGAGAAGGAGAAGGAGAAGAAGAAGAAGAAGAAGAAGAAGAAGAAGAAGAAGAGGAAGAAGAAGTAGAAGAAGAAGAAGAGGAAGAAGAAGAAAGAAGAAGAAGGACGAGGAGGATGAGAGGAAGGAATAGACAAAGGACGTAGAAGAAGAGGAGAAAGAAGAAAGACTATCATTTCATCAACAAAACAAACCAGCTCACACCGTCTTGAATTTATTTACTGGAAATATACAGACACGCGCCCCAGAGCGCGCGCGCACACACACACATATTCACACATACTTACACACACACACACGATTGCAATATTTTGCTTTAAACAGACGCTGCATCCCATCTTTTCGCCCCTTTTAAACTAAACTGTAATAGGAGATTAATAAATGCATTTATCATCCTTTCCCCAGACTTGCTTGAGAGCACGGAGACATCCCCAGTGCCCCAACAATCAGCCTCAATGACATCTGACATATTCCCGCCTTCTGATCTTCAATCTCAGCATTCCCCCAACGGCACGGAGTCGCGTGCAGACATCAATTATCAACCTTCAGAAGCCACCACAGGTTTGCTGATTTCAGCCCTGACTGTCGGATGTGTCTGCGCTCTTGCTGTTGTGGTAGTCCTGAGTTTGAGAATTTACGACGGATACAAGAAACGTCATTATTCCAGATTGGACTATTTGATTAACGGGATTTACAACTGACTGAAAAAAATTCCTTTTTTTTTTCAAAATGAAAGATGTGCCAACCTGCTGTTTCTTCAATGCTGAAATAGTCTCACTGCGTGCCAATCTGCTGTTTCCTCAATGCCGAGATAGTACAAATGCAGTTCTGTCGTATGCACGTCAGTGACTGACTAATGTAAATATCATCTGAAATAGAGTTAGAAATATTATCAGACTGTGGGAACAACACCATCTATGTATCATTATCATCGTCATCAATTTCCGCTTCTGGCTTTAAGTGGCTTGGGAAGATACAATTTAGATCTATTGCAAGATTGCTAGCAATTGTCATTCCGTGTCCATATAGAAGCTCTTTAATGTCATCAGTCCATATTTTTTCACAGAACGACCTCTTAATTTCACGTCAAGTATTTTCACGTGTAGCGCTCACGTTGGTGGTTGTTCTTTCTGCATTATTATTAGTCGACCAAACCATTTGATCTTCTGTTTCTCAGTTAATTTGCTGAATGGTTTTGTTCCCACAATCTGATAATATAATTTCTAACTTAACCTCGGATTGTTGAGTTGGCGGCTTTTCTCAGACATCTCATTTCACAAGGACATCTGTGCAATTATGTAAAATTCTGGATGCGAATCCAAAGATTGCAGATATTGATGATCTCCACCTCGATTCTCCAGGTGGAAGTATCACAACTGTGGGTCCCTGTGGAAGCTCTGTAATTGTGGTTCAATGTCCATAGTTAGAGATCCAGTCAATCTTGTACAGATGTATTTTCCAGTAGGTATTCCATAACTGTTCATACTGTTAGATAATACACATTTTTTGGTGTCGGCAGATATGTTGTTCCAGGCTGAAGTAGCATGTGTGGTCCAATTAGATATTTCAAAGATGTTAGTACGAGAGAATGTATCACAATGTTTGATCCGGTTAGATGTTTTAAGACTGTTTGTCCAGGCGGAGATTGCACAGCTGTTGGTTAAATTAGCTGTTTAACAGTTGTTTGTCCGGGCAAACGTTGCACAGTTTGTTAAATTATATTTTTCCCCCACTCCAGGCGGAAGTTGCACAGTTGTTAGTTAAATTAAATGTTTCACAGTTGTTTGTCCACGCAGACGTTGCACAGCTGTTTGTTAAATTAGAGATTAAAATTTGTTTGTCGAGATGGATGTACTGTTATTTGTTTCTCAAGTTAAACTTTTGTATACTTGTTAGTCCAATATGATGTCCCATGGTTGTAGATGTTATCGGAGGTACTACAGTTATTAGTCCAGTTGATGTCCCATTGGTGTGTATCTAAGTAAAAAAAAAAAGACCTATGTGTAAATTTAAACCTAAAACATTTGGACCAGCAGGAAAGGTCTTGATATGCCAGTATTATATCTCAGTGTATTTAATATAACTTTTGGTAATTAAAAACTACTCTTATACTCATGTGTTCTGGATGTTGTCATTACTGCTGTTGTTGTTCTTTAAGTCATCTTGAACTCTCTTCTAGTCACCTTCTATGTAAAGATATAAAACCGAACAAAAAGTTAATCGGTGAGCTTCACAGTATGATCAACTGAAATGGTAAGTGAACGTTTCGGCTGCAGAGCCTTCATTAGCACATTACATAAATCAAACAACCCCACTTGAAAACGCAAAATCACTTAACTGAAGTATCCCTCCAAAAATACTGTACAGGGTCTAATCATTCAACAAGTGATCAATTGGCAGTAATCGTAGCAGCAGTACCTGCAGTAGTTTTAGTAGTATTGTTATTAGTAGTAAAGGATAGTGCTAGAAGTATTTTCAGAAGCAATAATGGTCGTTGTAGAAGCAGTAAATGTAGTAGTAGTTGTAATAGTAGTAAGTAAAGTAAAGTAAAGTAAAGTAAAGTAAAGTAAAGTAAAGTAAAGTAAAGATCCCTTTGCACGCCTTTAGGCGTATCAAGCATATGGGAAGAGCGCACATATTTTTACAGACCATCAGCACTCTGTAGGTAATGTGGTCAGCATTACGCCGGCTGTCTTTACTTTCACAGGACAGCCCATCCTGGTACCCATTTTAGGCTGGGTCAACCTGCGACGCCCAATACCATAATAAAAATCCACCCAGTCAGCAGTGGGTTTCGATCGCGGTACGTTGGTATAACGATTTGGACTCGCAACGCCTTAGTCACGGAGCTTTAGTAGTAGAAGCAGTAATAATAGTGGTAATAGTAGTAGTGACGGCGTCTGTGGCTTAGGCGTTACGAACGCGCTTCGTAATGTCGGGTGCCGGGTTCGATCCCTGCTTGCGGTTTGTCTTGCGATAGTAGTAGCAGCAGCAGCAGTAGTAGTAATCGTACTAGTAATAGTAGTAGTAATAGTAGCAACAGTAGTAGTAGTAGTTGTAGTAGTTGTTGTAGGGACTGAGTGGTCTAGAAGCATTGCGTCCGCCTCGAGTGCTGGAGGTACCGGGTTCACATGGACTTCCAGTAATTTCTCCTGGTCTCTGGGTAGTAAGAGCAGACGCCCGTTTGTATGGTTGCAGTTGGAAATCGAAAAGGGTTGCCCTATGACGCTGCCCCAGCAAAATTTTGAATTAAAAATCCACCTCATGCGCCTCGACTATAGACCTCTGATGTCATCTTTCCATTTGTTCTTGGTCTACCTTGTGCCCTAGGTACAAACCCTCTTTTGGTGTATGCCTTGTAGGTTATAGCGTCTTTAGGCATTGTGTAAACTGATTTGATTTTATGTCCGTATAAGAAATTTATAATTGGTTCTGTGGCGACTGTTTCTCCTCATGACCTCATTCCTGATTTGATCTTTTCTGGTCACTCCTGCAGCCCTTCCCAGAGATCTTTTTTTCCGCGTTTACTAATTTTATTTTACGGTTTGTTGTAAGTGAGAATACTTGGCTCTGGTAACATAAAGTGCAAATTATTATGCTTTGGATGAGATATTTCTTTGTGCTGATGTTGCTTTGTGTCTTATTCTGTAAGAAGGCGGAGAGAAAAAAAAAGGGGGGGGGGAGAGGCGAGGAGGGGGGGAAGGGGGGGGGGGGGGGGGGGGGGAAGGGGGGGGGGTGTGTTAGCTGTCCCAATGCATAGTTTGAAAAACTCTACCTGATGTTAATTTCTTCATTCATTTTCTCCATCTTCAGTGTATTTTGTTCCAAGATATTTAAATTCAGATGCCAGTTTAATGATTGTGAACTTAACTGCTATATTTAGTTTCTACGTCTTTCTTCCTATTGACATTACTTCTGTCATTTCAGTGCTGATTCTCATATTATTATTTTTCTACGTTCTTCATTCACATGAATCAAATGTTGCAATTTCAAAGCTGTATCTGCTATAAGGCCTGGTCATCAGCAAAAAAATCACCTTAATAAGGTTGTTTTTTGGCTTGGCATTCTTGAATATACTTTCGATGTAGGTGATAAACAGCAATGGTGATAAGACACATCCTTGTCTTACTTCAGATCTTACTATGAATGGGTTAGACGTTTAGATGTTCCATGATTCAGTAAAGATATGCTTCTCGTCAACATCATGTGCTGTGCTGGTAACAGGCTCTCATATTTCGCCCTCTCACACGATGACCAGAAACACGGATCAGTTCAACGTGTTTCTCTCATCCCATCCATCTGGCCAGCCCATCGCTGTATTTATCCCTTTACTTTCCTCTTGTTCTCATGCCATCAATCTTGTCACTAGTTACCAAGTTATCAAGTCTATTCTTTCTCATAACACGTCCACAGAAAAATTGAATGTATACGCAATATGGGAATTACCATACCATAAGACAACCAGTCCAGCTGATCATACAATGTATCAACAAAAAAATGTAGATCATCCCTGTATGACCTTAGAGTTTAAAGAGGTGCTGATTTTTTTACTGACAACTTTCTGTTGGTCAATAAACTCCAGTTGACGAGACAGAAGAAATCTCTAACAGCATACAAGTTGGTTGCATATCCTTAACTGGACTTTGTAGAACAAACCCATTTGTGACTTTACCAGGCAATTGTACGTGAGTAGTTTGCCATTGCCTTGTGAACAACTGGCTCTAAAAGCCATTATCCTAATCTGTGCTAAAAGGTCTGCTCCCAGTCAGGTGCAAATGGGATTGAACCAGGTATCTCGACAGCTTATAGCAGAAGTAATATAAACCAGAATCCATCAGGCATCATTAGACCGGAGACTCCCCTGGGGTCGTAAAAAACTAACATCAAACCCCGACAGTCATCCCCTTCGCGTGAACTAAAGATCAGCATTGGCCATTTAATCACGTTTATATCCAGATTCTGCGGATTCAAATTCCACATTTTCTCCTCATGACTTGTTCTGGTGTGCAGGGGAGCATAAAAAAAGAAGACAGTGGGGGTGGGGGTAAGGGTGGGACCCGGGGAAAGGAGGGGGGGGGGCGGGTTTTAGCCCTTACATATTTTCTAGGGGCTAGGATGGGGGAGGCTTAAGGTACATAATCCTTGTTTAAATATGTAAGAATAATAATGAAAATAATAGAAGCCGTCATAATGTGGCAGCCAGACGCTCTCTTGTGGATCTGAAGGCCGCGGGTTTAGGTCCTGATCAAACTGTCTTTTTGAAAAAAATGACCAAGGCTCCGGTTTCGGTTCCGGTTTGTTTGAAAAAAAAAACAAAAGTTCATGTCACCCTAACCAGCTCCAATAGTGAGCGGCGGTTATTTTGGGACTGCGTTTATTTGTTTGGAGTATCCAATAGTTTTTTTTCAATTGTGACGAACTGCGTCTAGAAGTAGTTTTCTTGCGTGTTTCTCGATGTTGGCCGTGATTGGGAGTGGAAGTTTACTAGTCCTGAGAAGGACTAGTAAAGTTTGCCGGGGTGGCCTCGAACGGGTGGGAGGGATTGGGTTCGGCGGTTGACACCATGCCTGGCTGGTAGCGAGCTGTGGGGCGTTCTCCGGGCTGGGTGGTTGGCTGGTTCAACTGTCATGGCGGCTGGACTGGAGGGCGTGGTTTAGTTTCTCGAGTTCATCTCTGGCCAGTTTGTCTTCGTATGAACCCG